TTTTCTCCTGAATTCCACAATTTCCATTGAAATACCTACATTGCATGAATTTAATAGGATTAAGCCACAATTCAACCATTTTATCTATGTTTAAGTCATGTTTGTGAACCAAATAAGTGTGTAAAAACATATCAGCAAACTTTCCTTATTACTTTTCGCAAGAATTATCTTTGAAGAGGCATCAATACCCCCTACACCTTCAACCTGTCGAAGAGACTGGGGTATCAGATGTGCCAAACGACTAATTTGGCCAGAAACGGGTTTCTTCTTCCCCATGTAGAGGAAAGACGTGTGCAGCTGGAAACAGAAAGAAAATTGTACAGAAGAGAGGCCTGAAAGTAATAAAATCAGTCCAATATAGTACCAATAGAAGCAATAGGGAAATTGGGCCGGTTACAAGTAACTGGACAAAATAATATAAGTGCAGGAACAAAGACCCAAAATATCCTAAACTGGAAAGAATAAAATCGTGCAGCAAAAAGATCCACAAGATAATAAGAAATCCAAAGAAAATAGCCCAATACAGACCCAAGAAGATTATAATGGGGATCAAAACAAAACAACCCAAAACCAGGTCCGGTAAGGCCCGTCCAGAGAAACTGTGAGGAAATAAAATAGCCTAAACACAGGATGAGCAAACCAGATAGTTAAACATTGACCAAGTAAACCCAAAACTGAAACAAATCAGCCACCAACCCCTGACATAAGGCAGATGATAGGAAGGCAGCAAAGAGACCAGAGATAAATTCAAAATATGTGAGTACCAATACATACACAATAGGTACAGCAAGCAAACAGTGGGAACCCAAGAACCTGGAGCAAGAAAAAGTCGATGGAGATCAAAAAGAAATCCTAAAACCTAGTCAAGGTAAGCAAAACACAAGAAAGCAGCAGAACACACTGGAAATCGGAAGACCAAGCTATGGAGAAACCAACAAGAAGAGAACCACAACCAAAGAAAGACCTGAAATGTAAGCTGAAAGTCCAGGATGAGCAAAAATAAAATTGAAGCGAAAGTCCTGAGAATCTAAAAAAGTCGAGAGAAACACAAACTTCCAGCAACAGTAAAAGGATAACCAGAAAAGTGAGCAGAATGAAGCACCCAAAAATTGAATGCAACTGAACGAATTCAACAGACCAGCAAGAAGCAATAATCGAATCTAACCAAAGCTGTGATAGAAGCAGCAAGAACACTGTCCAGAAATCCCACTGAACTTGAACTGAAAACCAACCTGTAGTATAAAATCTTTGTACTTTACACTATGAGCAGACAACTCACGTTGAAAATAAGCTGCCCAGAAATAGGCAAAAGTTGCTCCCAAACCACAGATTAGAGTAGAATCTAGTAATAAAAATATGTTTAAATTTAATTTTCACCAAAGATTAGTAAAAGTTGAACCAAAACAAAAGAAAATTCATAAGAAAACTCTCAAGGCAAGTGGGCACCATGTGGGATTTTCTCTCAATAGGTTGAGAGCATCTCTCTCTAACTAACTTTTATTGAGAGCTCTTTCTAGATTCTACGGGTGGTGGTGCATGGCCATTCTTAGTTGGTAAAGTGATTTGTCTGGTTAATTCCATTAACGAACGAGACCTCAGTCTGCTAACCAGCTATGTCGAGGCAACCCTTCGTGGCTAGCTTCTTAGAGGGACTACGACCTTTTAGGCCATGGAAGTTTGAGGCAATAACAGGTCTGTGATGCCCTTAGATGTTCTGGGTCACAAGCCCGCTACATTGATGTATTCAATGAGTTTATAGCCTTGACCAACAGGTCTAGGTAGTCTTTGAAATTTTATCGTGATGGGGATAGATCATTGTAATTGTTTCAAGGGACGCAGCCTGATTTTCAGGCATTTTTTGACAGTTTTTAGGCACTGTGTGCAAGCCATGTCCGGGACACATCCTGGACCTGACAGGAACGTAACCTCATTTTTAAGCATTTCTAGGTCATGTTTGTAGGCCATGTTCAGGATGCATCCGAGCCACGATAGGGACGGAGCCTGATTTTCAGGCATTTCAGGCAATTTTTTGGCACGACATGCAAACCATGTTTGTGAGGCATCCTGATCGTGGCAGGAAAGCAACCTCATTTCCAGGCATTTCTAGGCAATTTCTAAGACACGCTGTGCAGGCATTGTCCAAGATGCGGCAGGGACGCAGCCTAATTTTCATGATATTCTAGGCAATTTCTGGGACGCGGTGTGCAGGCCATGTTCGGGACTCGTCTGTGCCGCGACAGGGATGCAGCCTGATTTCTAGGCATTTCTACGCAGTTTTTGGGACACGATGTGTCGGCCATGTCCTAGCCGCGATAGGGACGCAGCCTAATTTTCAAGCATTTCTAGGCAGTGTCTGGGTCGTAGAGTGTAAGCCATGTCCAGGATGCGGCAGGGACGTATCCCGATTTTCGAGTATTTCTAGACAATTTTTCGATGCATGGTGTGCAGGAAGTGTTCAGGGTGCGTCTGGGCTGCGGCAAGGATGCAACTGGATTTCCAAGCATTTCTAGGCTATTTTTGGGACATAGTGTGCAAGCCGCGTCCACGACGCGTCCGGGATGCAGCCCGATATTCAAGCATTTCTAGACAGTTTTTGGGAGACGGTGTGCAGGCCATGAACGGGATGCTTCTGGACGACGACAGGGATGCAGCCTGATCTTCAGGCATTTCTGGGAAGTTTTTGGGCACGGTGTGTTGGCCACTTCTGGGACTTGCCTGACCACGGTAGGAACGCCACCTGATTTTTAGGCATTTGTAGGCAATTTGTGGGCACGGTGTGCAGGCCATGTCCAGGACGTGACCTCGCTGAGGTAGGGACGCATCCTGATTTTCAGGCATTTTTTGGTAATTTTTAGGACTCGATGTACAGGCCATGTTCGGGACGCATCATGGCTACGGTAGTGACAGAGCCTGATTTTCAAGCAATTCTGGGCAGTTTCTGGGACTCGGTGTGCAGGCCATGTCCAGGATGCAGCAGGGACACATCCTGACTTTCTTTGCAAGGACACATCCTGACTTTCTTTGCAGGCCATGTCCAGGATGTAGCAGGCCATGTCCAGGATGTAGCAGGGACTCGATGTGCGGCTAAGTTCGGGACGCATCCTAGCCTCTGCTTGGACGCAGCCTGATTTTTAGGCATTTCTTTGCAATTTTTGGGACTTAGTGTACAGGCCATGTCCGAGACACCCCATGGCCATGACAGGGATGCGTCCTGGCCGCGATAGGGATGCATCCTGATTTTCAGGCATTTGAAGGCATTTTGTGGGCATGATGTGCAGGCCATATCTGGGACATGTCCAGCCACAGTAGGGACTCGGTGTGCAGGCCATGTTCGGGACGTATCATGGCCACGACAAGGACGGAGCCTAATTTTCAGGCAATTTTGGGCAATTTTTGGGATGCGATGTGCAGGCCATGTCCAGGATGTGGCAAGGACGCATCTTGAATTTTGGTATTTTTAGGCAATTTTTGAAACAAGGTGTGTAGGCAATGTCCGGGACGCGTCGTTCCCGCGATAGGGATGTAGCCTGGTTTCCAGGCATTTCTAGGCAGTTTCTGGGACATGGTGTGCTGGCCATGTCAAGGATGCTGTAGGGACACATCCTAATTTTCACGTATTTCTAGGTAATTTCTTTGACCCAGTTGCAGGCAATTTTTGGGATGCGTTGGGCCTGCTATAGGGATGCAGCCTGATTTCTAGGCATTTCTAGGTAGTTTTTGGGACACGGTGTGCAAGCCTTGTCCAGGACGTGACAGGGATGCATCTTAATTTTCAGGCATTTATAGGCAGTTTCTAAGACACAGTGTTCAAGCCATGATAGGATGTATCAGGGCCATGCGAGGATGCAGCCTGATTTTCAGGCATTCCTGGGAAGTTTTGGGTACGCTGTACAGGCCGCGTGCGGGACGTGTCTTGGCCACTGTAGGGATGCAGCCTAATTTTCAGGCATTTGTAGACAGTTTGTGGGCACGGTGTGCCGGCAATGTCTGGGATGCATCCAGGCTGTGGCTGGGGCGCCGCCTAATTTTTAGGCATTTCTTGGCAATTTTTGGGACTCGATGTGTAGGCCATGTCTGGGACGCATCATGGTCAAGGCAGTGACGGAGCCTGATTTTCAGGCAATTCTGGGCAGTTTCATGGACACGGTGTGCAAGCCATGTCCAAGATGTGGCAGGGATGCATCTAGACTTTCAGTTACTTTTAGGCAATTTCTAGAACACGATGTGCAAGCAATGTCTGGGATGCGTCTGGTCCGTGGTAGGGATGCAGCCTCGTTCTCAGGCAAGTTTCGGGACACGGCGTGTAGGCTATGTCTAGGATGCTGTAGAGACACATCCTGATTTTCACATTTTTCTATGTAGTTTCTTGGACACGGTGTCCAGTCAATGTTTGGGCCTTGTCTTGGCTACGGCAAGGATGCGGCCTAAACAGGGGGATGCACAACAACTATAGGGGAAGGAGAAGGAACTGTAGTACACTTATCATAAGAATGGCCCAAGTGTTTAGAATAGCAGCAAAAAAATCGACCGCTTCTAATAAATATTTGTCTACCAAAAGCCACGATTTCCGACGCGCCCAATCTAAACCCTCTCGAGCAACTTATGCCCCAAATTTACCTCAATACACAACCTTGCCTTACTAGGGCATCTCAAGTCGGAGGTGGCCTCATCGAGGTTTAGGGCTTACAGTTTAGGGTTTAGGGTTTAGGGGTTTTTTAGCCTGAATTTTCCTTTAATAAGTTTTAACGAAGCAGCAGAACTCAATTTTACAGATATTTGTAAAGTCATAGAGTGTTTAACTAAGGTAAAACACAATAATTATAGGATAATAATTAGTAACTAGATTAGAACAAGCCATTGTATGGACTAAATTGAGGAGGCAGCTGAAAAGATGAGACCATATCCATCAAATCCGTGTCCATTGTGCTTCCAAAGGTTGTACCTTGATCAATTGTTGGCAGATTTATTGTTAAATTTTAGTTTCCAGCATTGTCTCCATCCTATTGATAGGAAAAGTACAACTCATCAAGATAAATCTGTGAAGCTTCAGTCTCCACGCTTCGAAAGTTAGAATTTAATTCCATGATTAAATCTAAATTCTCATAAGGGAAAAATTTATTTCCCATAGGGTTTGAAGCAGAATGGAATAAGTCATTTTCCACATATTCTACAGCAGGCAACTGAGAATTAGTTGTTTGTAAAATCTTCGGGGAAGTGAAGAAAATGGTGGGATGATTATAATTTTCATCAACGTTGAAGCTACAAGTATTCTCAGATGTCCGTTCAGCTAGATTCATTGGTTGACAGTGATCGACTGGAATTGAATCGATGGACTGATTGTTTTCAAACAGGGTTTTCATGAAGTCCATTTCGTCATTGCATGATTCGAAACTGAAAAATGGCGTAGAGTCTTCATCATCAGAGAGTGGTGTACCGACGTTGGACGGATTTGCTGCAGTGGTAGTGGTACTGAAATTTGAGTTAGTGGAGGTGGAACCATTACTGAAATACTTTTTATGATGTAATTTTGTAATAGTGTTAACTATCTTCTATCTTCTTTTACTTTTTTTATATTTCTCCTTGAAATCTGCCTCCTTTTTGTGGCATTCCAATGATTCTTTATTGAATTTTCAGTTCTTCCAGGAATGTACTTAGCTATCTCTAGCCATCGATTTCCAAGTCTTTCATGTACTTGAATTAACTTACTCTCTTCATCTTCAGTCCAAACGTCCTTCTTGATATGAGGATATAGATGATTATTCCATCGCTCACGACACTATTTTCCCACTCTATCAACCATTTCTTCAACTATTACAGCCCATTTCCTCAATCCAAATTGATATACTAAGCCAATAAATCTCCTATTTTCTTCGTCTATCCACTGGCCTTTTATCTGATATCGGGAAGAAGAACTATTCTCTCTCTTCTCCTTCAGATCATGATTGACGGGTGTAGGTATCTCATTTATTGAAAGAATTTCACCCGAAGTTTGTTTTTCAGGTTGAAGTCCTTCCATGAAGCTTGGCTCTCCGGTCGTGTAATTATTGGTTGTGCCATTTGAAGAAAAATTCGAAAACTAATTTACTTCATTAGAAGGAAATTGGTCTAGGCTTTAGGGTCCAGGGCTTAGGGCTTACAGTTTAGGGCTTGGGCTTTAGGGTTTCTGGGACACGGTGTGCAGGACATGTCCAGGACGCAGACTTATTTTTAGGCATTTCTATTCAGTTTCTGGGACAAGGTGTGTAGGCCTTGTCCGAGATGCATCCTAGTCCGCAATCTAATTTTTAGGCATTTCTAGGCAGTTTATGGGCACGATGTGTAGGCCATGTTCGAGAGGCATCCTAGCCACGGATGCAATCTAATTTTCAGGCATTTCTAGGCGGTTTGAGGGCTCGGTGTGCAGGCAATGTTCGGGACGCGTCCTGACCACGTTCGGGGCACAATCATATTTTTAAACAAATGAAGGAAGCACGGTGTGCAGGTTATGTTAGGGGCGCAGACATGTTCCTGGGCATTTTGGGTAGTTTTTGATACATGGTGTGTAGGCCAAATTCGGGACAAGTCATGGCCACCGATGGGACGCAGCCTCATTTATAGGCATTTTTTATAGTTTTTGGGCACTGTGTGCAGGCCATGTCCGGGATGCATTCTGGATGCGACATGGACGTAGCTTGATTTTTAGGCATTTCTAAGCAGTTTCTACATCATGGTGTGTAGGCTATGTTCAGAACGCAACCGAGCCACGATAAGGACGGAGCCTAATTTTTAGGTATTTTAGGCCAATTTTTGGACACGGTACGCAGACCATGTTCGGGCCTCATCCTAATCGTGGTAGGAACACAACTTGATTTCCTGGCATTTCTAGGGAGCTTCTAGGACACAGTGTGTTAGCAATGTCCAAGATACGACAGGGACGCAGCCTGATTTTCATGATATTCTAGGCAACTTCTAGGACGAGGTGCGCAGGCCATGTTTGGGACTCGTCTGGGCCGCGATGGGGATGCAGCCTTATTTTTAGGCATTTCTACGCAGTTTCTGGGCCATGGTGTGCAAGCCATGTCCTGGCCACGGTAGGGACGCTACCTGATTTTTTGGCATTTCCACATAGTTTCTTGGTCACAGTGTGTAAGCCATGTCCAGGATATGGTAGGGACGTATCCTGATTTTTGGGTATTTCTAGACACTTTTCTGGTACATAGTGCTCAGGCAATGTACGGGACGTGTCTGGGCCACGACACGGATGCAACCTAATTTCCAACCATTTCTAGGCAATTTCTGGTACACAGTGTACAAGTCACGTCCACCACGCGTCAAGGATGTAGCTTGATTTTCAGGTATTTCTAGGCAATTTCTAGGACATGATGTGCAGGCCATGAACGGGGCGCCTCTGGGCGACGGCAGGGACACAGCCTGATTTTTAGGTATTTTTGGGAAGTTTTTGGGCACGGTGTGCAGGCCACGTCTGGGACGTGTCCTGACCACGATGGGGACGTCGTCTAATTTTCAAGCATTTGTAGGTAGTTTGTGGGCATGGTGTGCAGGCCATGTCCAGAACGCGTCCTAGTCGCGGTATGGACGCAGCCCGATTTTCATGCATTTATTGGCAATTTATGGGACCCGATGTGCAGGCCATGTTCGGGATGCATCATGGCCATGGTAGGGATGGAGCCTGATTTTCAGGCATTTCTTGGCAATTTCTAGGACTCAGTGTGCAGGCCATGTCTAGGATGCGGCAGGGATGCTTACTAACTTTCAGGTATTCTTAGGTAGTTTCTAGAAGACGGTGTGCAGGCAATGTTCGAGATGCATCTAGGCCGTGATAGGGATGCAACCAGGTTTCCAGGCATTTCTAGGTAGTTTCTGGGGCACGGTGTGTAGACCATGTCCAGGATGCTGTAGGGACACATCCTGACTTTCATGTATTTCTAGGTAATTTCTTGGACATGGTGTCCAGGCAATTTTGGGGACGCGTTGGGGCTGCTGCAGGGATTCAGCCTGATTTCTAGGCATTTTCAGGGAGTTTCTAGGACACAGTGTGTAGACCATGTCCAAGACGCAGCTTGATTTACAGGCATTTCTAGGCATGTCTGGGATACGGTGTACAGGCCTTGACCGAGAAGCGTCCTGGCCACGTCAAGGATGCAACTTGATTTTTAGGCATTTGTGGAAAGTTTTTGGGCATGGTGTGTAGGCCATGTTCGAGATACGTCTTGGCCACAGTAGGGACGCATCCTGATTTTCAAGCATTTGTTGGCAGTTTGTGGACACGGTGTGCAGGCCATGTCCAGGACGCGTCCTAGCCGCGGTAGGGACACAGCTCGATTTTCAAGCATTTCTTAGCATTTTCTAGGACTCGATGTACAGGCCATGTTCGGGACCCATCATGGCCATGGCAGGGATGGAGTCTGATTTTCAGGCAATTCTGTGCAGTTTTTGGGATACGATGTGCAGTCCATATCCAGGATGCGACAGGGACGCATCCTGACTTTCAGGTATTTTTAGGCAGCTTCTGGAGCACGGTGTGCAAGCAATGTCCGAGACGCATCTAGGCCGCGGTAGGGATGTAGCCTAGTTTCCAAGCAGTTCTAGACGGTTTCTGGGACATGGTGTGTGGGCCATGTCTAGGATGCTGTAGGGACACATCCTAAATTTCACATGTCTATGCAATTTTTTCAACCCAGTGTGTAGGCAATTTTCAGGATACGTTGGGGCTATTGTAGGGAAGCGGCCCGATTTCCAGGCACTTTTAGGCAGTTTTTGGAACACGGTGTGCAGGCCATGTCCAGGATGCGACAGGGACGCTGCTTGATTTTCAGGCATTTTTAGGCAGTTTCTAGGACATGGTGTTTAGGCCATGACCAGGACGCATCAGGGCCACGCTGGGACGCAGCCTGATTTTCAGGCATTCCTGGGATGTTTTTGGGCATGGTGTACAGGTCGTGTCCGAGACGTGTCCTAGCCGCTATAGGGATGTAGCCTAATTTTCAAGCATTTGTAGGTAGTTTGTGGACACGGTGTGCAGGCCATGTCTGGGACGCATCCATGCCACGGCTGGGATGCCGCCTAATTTTTAGGCATTTCAAGGCAATTTCTCGGGATGCAGGCCATGTCCGAGACGTGTCATGGCCAAGGTAGGGACGGAGCCTGATTTTCAGGCAATTCTGGGCAGTTTTGTGGACACGGTGCGCCGGTTAATTCCAGGATGCGGCAGGGATGCATCCAGACTTTCAAGTATTTTTAGGCAGTTTCTGGAACACAATGTATAGGCAATGTCCGGGATGCGTCTGGTCCATGGAAGGGATGCAGCTTGGTTTTCAGGCAATTTTCGGGACATGGCGTGCAGGTCATGTCTAGGATGCTGCAGGGACACATCCTGATTTTCATGTATTTCTATGTAGTTTCTTGGACACGGTGTGCAAGCAATGTCTAGGACTCGTCTGGGCTACGACAAGGATGCAGCCTGATTTCCAACCATTTCTAGGTAGTTTTCGGGACATGGTGTGCAGGCGATGTCCAGGACGCGGCATGGACGTAGCCTGATTTTCAGGCATTTCTTGTTAGTTTCTGGGTCATGGTGTGCAGGTCATGTCAGGGACATGTTTGGGCCACGGCAGGGACAGAGCCTAATTTTTAGGTAATTTCGGGCAATATTTGGGCATGTGTACACACCATGTCCGGGACGCGTCCTGGCTAGGTAGGGATGTAGCCTGATTTTTAGGCATTTCTAGGCAGTTTGTGGGCATGGTGTGCAGGCCAAGTCGGAGACGCATCCTGGCTGTGGCAGAGAAGCTGCCAGATTTTTAGGCATTTATAAGCAATTTTTGGGAATCGGTGTGGAGGCCAAGTCTGGGACGCGTCATTGTCACGACAAGACGCAGCCTGCTTTTCAAGCATTTCTAGACAATTTTTAGGTCATAAGGTTTAGGGTTTTTTTATTTAGAATTAAAACCAGGAAATATATACGTGACAAAGAATAATTAAAATAAAATGTAGCTCAACGTTAGAACCCATGCTTTGACGCTAACACGAGACTTGCTCCATTTTACATCTCGAACATTGTTTCATCAACCTTTGCTTTGACGAGCAATCCCATCACCTCTTCCACATGCTTGGCCCTCGATCGCATCATCGGCCCCTCAACTATAAACCGATCTTTTCTCGAGCTCGAATATGGACTTGACTTTGGTACTTGTGCTTCCTGGATCACATCATCCCCTCCCTCTTCGAAAGGATTCAACCTCGAATCTGCACTTGCATCAAAAAGAGATAAGTAAAAAACATTGAAGGTTACAGAAAACACTATACTCACTTGGAAGATCTATCTTATAAGCATTGTTGTTGATCTTCTCAATAACTTGGAATGGTCCATCTCCTCGTGGCAATAACTTTGATTTTCTTTGCTCTGGGAATCGTTCTTTCCTGAAATGCACCCAAACCCAATCTCCAGGTTCGAAAGTGACATATTTTCGGCCTTTTTTTGCTTTTGTTGTGTGTTGATTGTTCTTCCTCTCTATTTGCTCCCTTACCATTTCATGGAGTGTCTTTACCAATTCGGCTTTCTTTTCCCCGTCCAAGCTACCTCGTTCATTCACAGCCAAAGGTATTAAATCTATAGATGTTAAAGAATTAAAACCATAATCGATTTCAAGTAGTGAAAACGACGTAGTAGAATGCGTGGCCCTATTATATGCAAACTCAATGAAGGGAAATCATTCTTCCCAATTCTTTAGATTTTTATTAACCACAGTGCACAATAGTTGTGTAATAGTTCTATTCATTACTTCAGCTTGACCATCGATTTGTGGGCGACAAGCTGTAGAAAACAATAATTTCTTGCCTAACTTATTCCACAAGACCCGCCAAAAGTGACTAAGAAACTTAACATCCCTATCAAACACAATACTTTTGGGAACACCATGCAAACACACTACTTATTTGAAAAACAAGTCCGCAATGTTAGTGGAATCATTGGTTTTGTGACATGGTATAAAGTGTGCCATTTTACTAAACCTATCC